CTTATCATTCTTAGCATTACCTTACAAGTTGTTGCTATCGCATTCATCGCTTCGCCCTTGCAGTGAAACTGCCTTTTCTAAATTTCGGGCAAGAATATCATTATCACTGAGGTGATGTTAGATTAGGCAGTGATGAAAACTCCGAGACCGCGGTGAGGACGGGTCTTCGAAGCTGGACACGTCATGCGCTTCCATCATGCACTGCGAGTTCACAGGCTGGTAGCTTACGCGATTAGCCAATTAGTTCTGGCAACACGACGGCGCATTGAATGCTATGCAATAAGCACGATAGCAAAAAATTGTAATGTTATCACAAATAAGGCTGGCAGCCAACTCTTTTGGATCCAGCATTGCGGAACTCCTACGAAACACTAGTGTGAGCGAATTCGGTCGCTCTTCAGAGAAGTACTCTTTTCACACAGTCTCTTCACGTTAAAACCACACTGATACTCCCGAGATAGAAAGCACGGCAGCGATCACGGCTGCCTTTATTATGCAAGTTCAGTATTGCTACTCGAGCCATTTCGCCCCCCTCCCTCCCCCCGCTCCCCGCGTTGCTTCATGCTCGTCCGAGACGGGTGGCATACTTTCTGTTTGATCAATTGATGGCAGTTCTAACACACAAGAGATGTTATCTTAGCACTTTCCAGGCAATAGGAATGGGCCGACTCATTTGACCTCAGCTGCAGCAGCACTCACACGCTTTTACCCGCTCGTGAAAGTTACGATGCGCAGAGGCATGTTATCGATTTGGACTTGTTTTTAAACACTAGCGCAATGGCAAAAACTCATCGATTGTGTCTATATAATTGTTATCGCAATAGTAACGCACTTTTTTTTACTGATAAATAAGTGTTTTGGGGTAGCTCTGCCTTCAGTTCCCCTTTTATTTAATTTGTGCGTTTATTTTCTGAATTGTCGTACCAAACCTGCATATAACGAGATACTCTTTGTAACGAATTTTTTTATGATGTATCAATTTCATCATATCCAGGTTTAACTGTACTCTCAATGGACTCTTCATCCTTACTCTTCCAATTCTTGGGCACTGAAAACCTCTTGTAAATATGTGGTGAATGAAATTGTGTCTCCCTGCCCTGCACCCTTCTTTATTGCGATGCTGTAGCTTTCTTTAAGGAGAACTATGGTGACTGTGAATTTGCTGTAGATTTCTTCTATTATGTTTACATAAGATTTCTCGATGCTCTGATTGCGAAGCACTTGCATCACTGCTGATGTCTCAACTGAGTAAAATGCTGTTTTTTAATCTATGAAGAGTATGTATAGAAGTTGGTTGTATTCCATGCATTTTTCTATCACCTGATTGAGGTCTTTCAACAGCAGAAAGAACCGTGTCATCCCTAAGTGCTACATGAGTAGAAGTTGATGTACATTTGTTAGAGATTCACGAAAAAAAATCTGGGATCAAATAACTTCAGACTGAAGTTTAGAGCTTAAAACAAGTCATTGAACAACAAAACACTAATCTGACAAATATTGAGGATAGAAGTTGGGGCTGCAGCATCATTATTCATCGAATTAGTGAGCAACAAGGCGAAAATAAAAAATCGCTGCGATGTGAAGTGATCCACGAACTCTTCTCACAAAAGCTTCTCACAAAAGCTATCTGGAATTTCTCAAAAAGTGGCTGGCACAGCTGAGACTTTTTCTTAATCACGCACTGTTGTAATCGCGAGAAACGTGTCAGTAATGTTATCTGTCTTTTGTTGTTGATTGCGCAGAGCATGCATGCGCATCCGTTGTTGGCGCTGTTAACTTGTTAAAAGCGCGGCGACCAGGCTGTGTCGCATCAGTTGTGTTCCTGCCCTCAGATGCAATAAATGGTTTTCGAACACCGGCATCTTCATTCCAACACGCGCGAATGTCAGCCTTTCCTGCTGCGACAGTTGCGGTGCTGCGGAAGAGCACTCTCTTTTACACTTATAGTTCACTGTAACCATACTGTAGAGTACCCATAAGTATATACTGCGCATCTGGGTGATAGAAGGTGAGGGAAAAGGTACCGCAATTTGTGTGTCTGTCTGTCTTGGCCCCTGCATTACGCATGCTAGGCCTACGCTTGCCTAGACGTCAGTTGTGTTTGTTACGTGGTTTTGGGGGTTCAGTGTTGCCCCGAGTTAAGTTGAAAGGTTGATGGGGGTATTAAAACCAAAGAGGCACTTGCATGTATCTCCGCATTCGTACACATTGGTGTTTCGATGCTTTGTGACTTCGCAAAAAGGTGACAAGTGCGGAAAGGTGCACATGGTGTACGATGCACGCCTGTAATGTAGGTGTTTCAAGCGATGGCAAGACCGAGAAGCATTAGAACTTCGTTCGTGCTGCCGAAGGGTGTGGCAACATCGGGACTTTTTTCAAAAGCGCTGCGAAGACAGTGCGATCCGCGCAGAATGTCTATGTATTCACGGGATTTCTAGCAGAACACAACTTGTCCCTTAGCGTGTGATTATGTAGGACCGTTGTTTCGAAAATGACTCTGAAGTGCGAGGACGTGAAACAGTACAGGTGTGGACGCACGCGAGCAACCGTCATCATCGGGAAAATGCCTGTAGATGCCGAAAACACAATGGTGGAGGCTCTGAAATGCAGCCCTTTTGTCACAAATGTTCAAGTCTCGGTAATTTCTGATATAACCTCCCCCCCCCGGTGCGGTGTCCCAAATTTTCATGCTTCTAGGTTGGCAGGACTGTAAAAAACTGCATAATGAGTGAGAAAAAGGACGCTTTTTTACCTTTCAAAATGTGACAAAGACAAACTAGACCAATGAAACACACTTTTGGTACTGTCATTGTTTTGCAAGAAGTGTTTCCGAGATAAGCCATGTGAATTCAGTAAGTAATGAACGCGGAACCTTTAAGGCTTCACATGTTTTTACACAGTGGTTCAGGCCGAGATGGTTGATAGGGCAGCTGAGTGTAGGCACTCTTGTTGTGCAGTGCACTCAGTGGATGGTGCTGTAGCTGTATGAGTGGAACCACTCGAAGTTGTAACTTGCACCCCTCCTGTGAGTGTGTGCATGCACAACACTGAATGGACATTGAGCAGGATGTTGTATTTCAGTCTCCCAGAGTTGTGTTAGCCCAAAAAACGTTTTCATCAACTGCTGTTCCAGTTTGCATGTTTCAAAATGTACTTGAGTATTAGTTATGAAGATAATCCTAGTACACTAGACTCTCGATAATCCAAACACTGACAATATATAGTTTCAGGTAATTCAAACAAGAATCAATTTTTTGTTTGGCCCTCTATTTTTTCAATGTATTTAAAAGCCTCTTAGTTCAAACTTTCTCATTTGGTTAATCTATACTTTTTGTTATTCCATACCAGAAAATGTCTGCTCCTGTCGTACTACTATTGAAAAATTTGGGTGCTTATATAACCCTAACTGTCTAAAAATGAAAAATAGGCAACTCAGGCCTTCAAGGAAAAAGGCTTTGCTAGTAAACAAGTGTTTTCAAGGAAGCACACACAAGGTGATCCATAATGTGTTTCAGCTGGTATAGAGACCTTTGTGCTGAAGGCATTAACAGCATAGAAGTTGTTGGCAATTCACAATTTCTTAAGAGGTCTGATCAGCAGTAAATAGCTAGGCAATGAACTTGTGGACCTTACACCTCTGCTGAAGCTTTTCATTGCGTGCAGTTAGGTTTTAAAAACCTCCATGTGCTCAGATTTGGGTGCACGTCGAAGAACTCCTGGTGGGTCAAAATTTCCAGAGCCCTTCACTATGGCGTCTCTGATAATCAAATGGTGGTTCTGGGACGTTAAATCTGACATATCAATAAGGTTTAAAGCATATGAAGAATTTTTAAGCGTGATAAAAATCAATGCCTAATTACAATGTGTGGTATCACCTCACCCACAGTCATTTATCTGAGAACTTCTGATAATTCAAACTTCTTGATAATTGAAACAAAGTTTAGACGTCTCTTCGAGTTTAAATTTACGAGTATATGAAGTTACGAGTATATGAAGTTTCACATTTGGCTATCGATAGCTTTTTCAAGGCTTCAATGTGGCCGCATTGGTGTGGATACCACAGCAAAGACAGAGGAGGAGAATGGCACAAAATGCTTACAAACTTTGCTCTTTTCAAGAGCTTTATTGGGTTTTGGTTTCTCCACACCTCAGTTGCCTGTCTTGCCATCAGATGTGTGCATACCCTGTATTGCTCTTTTCCTTTGTCTAGCTTAAGCGTCTCCTAACACATGCTTACATTCTTCAGAGCTTAAAAGGGGCAGACCTTCATTGGCAGTAAAAGCAGCACTGCCAAGTTCAAAAGACAGGAAACAGGAATGGTATAGAAGATCATCTAACAACTGGTTAAGTGAACCCATAATTAGCATGAGATAAATGCATGTGTTTTTACTATCACTATCATCCATGTTAACTAAAGAGGTTTTCCCCAGTGCCTTTTTGTTTGTCTTTTGCCCCCCATTTTTTTTTAAACTTTTTCAGTCATTTCATTAAACCATCAGTTAAGGCGCACTTCATCTGCGTCATGCCTGTTTTTTGTTTTTTAAACTTAGCAGTGCTGCCTTTATGACCTCGTATATTCGAAATAGCCCTCTCGCAAGCTCTTCAGAATCAACCTTCTTGTTCGATTAGGCCTCACGGTTAGGCCCTATGGTCATTGTGCATGTGTGCTTCATAGGCATGTGAAGACTTCTTAAAGCTGTGGCTTGCTAATCATTCTTCATTTCTGACCCTTCAGCCACATACGTAGTAGGGTGTCTGATGCCAGAGCAGGGTAAATGTGCTTTCCATGAATTTTGCTGTGTTTTAGGAAACACTAGTTGGCTCTAGTATGTCGTTCCTGAGTGTGTGCTTGTTGCAGTGACAACTGATGCTATCTTGAAGCTTGCTAAGCCTGAATTTGCACTGGCTGGTGGAGTATTCGGCACACATAGTTCATTTGTGAGCGTTACTTTTGGAGCTGTCCTCATGCAATATTTTATTGCTGCTCCTTGTCTTCGCAGACGAAGTGGTGCAGTGGGCGTGTGCGTACACTATGCAGGCTGTGGCGCGACACGCTCCCGATCGACTCCGAGCACACGCAGCCAGTGCCCTGCCACTTGCCTTTTTTGCCAAGCACTCCACACCCCCAGGTGAATCGACTATTTCATAACTTACCAGTAAGCTTTAATATGCTGTGGATGTGGAACTCTGTGCATGTGGGGAAGTAGTGTCGAAGCACTTCCAGAGGGCATACAATGGAGCTGTAGAAAAAAGAGGAAGGAATAAATGCGTGCGGGTAAAAAAGTTGAAACTATGAACGGCGTTCGATTGGATTTCTTTGCTGAGTCATAGCTTTTTTTCACATTGTGGTGCCAAAGCGCTCATGCGGACACTTCTTCATTGCACGACTCGAGAGGACTTTCTACTAAACTGCGTCCTACTATGGGTGGCGAGGACTGCAACGAATCTGACCGACATGGAGCCAGACCCTATAGGCTTGAACACCGAATCTGATGGATTGCATCAAGACTAAGCTCTCTGCTCGACGAGCCCAAAACACGAAGCTTTTACAGAAAGCAAGGTCGCTGCTCACAGAACCTACCACAGACAAGCCCAAGCTTACAGGTATATTTATAACCATTTGTCAGCAAACAACAACCAGCTCTCAAAAATCAATGAGCGTCTTGAAGTGCACCTAGCTGACGAGAAGCTCGAAGCAGAATATGTCGTGGCGTCCGAGTAAAACGACCAAGCTATCGGCATGCTCGCCGAAAGTTTCTACAAGATAGACGGTTTGACCCGCGGGGGCAGTACAGTAGCGACTGCTCCTCAGAACGCGACCCCATCACCTCCTGATGCCCTGACCATAATTGGCTCAAGACTGCCGAACCTTGGCATACCAACACTTAGAGGTGACAAACAGGAATGGTTGGCTTTCTGGGAGCAGTTCGAGCATACTTGTGCACCTGAACAATGCTTTATCAACCACAACGAAATATTTCTATCTACATCATTATCTTGAGGGTGATGCGGCAGCAGCAATATGTGGTTTTTCAACTTCTGAAGCTTGTTACGCAGACGCCATTGAATCATTGAGGAAACGCTTCAAAAATTCGAAGTGGATCTAGCAATACCACCTGTTGAGACAGAGAAGAGACTGACACCCGTGTTGGCCTGGTAGAACCCTTCCTTTTTTATTCTCTCTTTTTATTGCGTGCTCACGTGCAGCCCCGCCCTGTGCTCGCTTGTTCACGCGTCTTGTGCCCTGCATCGCGTTTCCCGCCACCGTTTTCCTGGGGTAGATTCAACTTCTTCCCGGGGTTGCAGCGTGCGTGCTTGCGTCCAGTCAAAACAGCCGGTTTGATGCCATCTGGGTAGGCGAGTTTGAAATACTTGTTGCAGTCAGCCCTGCCTAGAAATGCCTCAACTACTCTGTGTCATTTCCACTGCAGCGCCGGGGCTTCCTCATCATTGACAGTCACCAAGCCAAAAACGCTCAGTTGGGACAAAAGGAGTGGCTTGCAGTGATGATCAGAGGGCAGGAAAAAGTATTAACTATTCTCTTTTCTTTCTTCTTTTCCACAGTCAGAAAAGCCTTTTGCACTTCACATGCCCTCGCAAGTCATGCTTGTCGGACACAGGTCAACAGCACCTAGTTCTTACTGGTAGCCCCTTGGTACGCTTGCCAGTTAGGAGTAGCAATCGTGACAGCGCCCGTGCATTTTCGGTGTCCTTGCACTGTTGCATCCGAAAGCAGTCATGTACTGCAATGTCTTAGTGATCGTACGACAAGAGTGAGGGGGCAACGTAGAATGCGGAGGTCAGACAGAGTAGCACATTCCAATGCCGCCTTATTCGGCAAGTTCTCGGTGTCGGATAAAGGAGGCTCATTCCTATAGATGTCCTGCTTCCATCTACGTTCGTTCCTGTTCTCCTTTGATGGTGTGGCTCTGCAATCACGTCTTGAGATGCCCCAAAGCGAACACATAGTCTCTCCAGGCCTTGAAATGGCAGCTGGCGATGGCGACCATGGTGTCGATGCCGAGCATGGCAGATGATGCTGTGTCAGGACGTTCGTTGCCTTGTGAGCTTGAGACGATCTGCCTGAAATGGTTTCTTCATGTGACATTCGGGTCTTCTGGCTTTCCACTTCACCTTGAATGAACTTTGGGATGGTGTTCTTTTCCTCTTCACTCAATTGTACTGCAGAGTTCACGGCGTCTGTGTCGCCCAACGTTCGCTTTCGATACTCGATCACCAAGTCATGTGGTGATGAGCGCAGGAGTTTCTGGTGCGGAACTACCGCGTACTCTGAAGACGGCATACCAAAGCCTTCCAAACATTCGGTCTTGAACTGGATGTTCTTGAAATCGTCCTGTTGCCTTGATATTTGTGACGATAACTCGGACGGGTCTGTGGGAAGTAAGCTGGCGGTTCGTTTGTCGACGAGATCTTTGTGGCCATACCTATCAGGGGGCACCTCAGCGACGACGTTGCAGTTCCTCTTGGTCAGGCATGTTTCATCAGTGTGTAACCTCATATGGCAGGCCTTCGGCGTTTAAACATCTGTGGGCTGAGGGTATGTGTAAATAGACGTGCCATAATGCTCCCGAAAACCCGCCAACTCACGGTCCTCACTGCAAAAGCCAGGCACTTGAAGCTTCGGCAGGGTGTCTCGCACGCCAGGCGCCCGGGGCGTGCTGCGTTCGGTGAAGTTGTGGCTGGTTCTGTCCGAGCGGGTAGCTCCACTGAAGTTGCTGGATGCATTACTCATACCCACGTGCCTCGGGGGGTTGGCTTCGAGGACGGTAGAGCCGTCCTGTGCACGCGTGTTCATTGCAGATCGAAGCCTGCTGATGGCTTTCGTGGCCTTTTCGTGGTAATCCAGAGCGCTCATAACTTAGTCGTCAAACTCCACACTGTCGAGGGCATCGGCGATCTGTTTGTTTAGTGCGCCGAGAGCTGTTTCCTTGTTGCGAAGCCCGTCGATGAACTCCTGCAAGTTGGCGGAAGATGGTACAGTGCCTTGCAGGAAGATCTGGCTGTCCTCAGACAGGAGTCGGAAGGTGGCACCGCGAAAGATGCTTCGATGTCTGCGTAGCTTGTCCATCTTGGGAACGTATCGGTGTGAGGGTGTTGGCCTTCTCCCGAGTTTCGGCACAATTAATGTTGAGACAGAGAAGAGATCGACACCTGCATTGCCCTGGTAGAACCCTTCCTTTTTTTTCTCTTTTTAGTGCGTGCTCACGAGCAGCCCCGCCCTCCACTAGCTTGTTCGTGTGCCTTGTGCCCTGCATTTGGCACCACCGTTTTCCTGCGGTAGATTCAACACCACCTATTAGCGTTTTGCAATCTATCTCGCGTAAAGTCGGGAAGCCAAGTTCATGGCCTCTAGAGACTTTACGGTGCTGTGCAGCTGGACATCTGGTGTCTAACTGCCGTAAACGTTCCCATGCTGAGTTTTTCAGATTTTACAGAAAGCCCTACTGTATGACATCATCTTGGCCTACACACATGGAAAGCGCAGTCAAGCACTAAGATAAAATGGGTCAGCTGCAAATGTCTTCGAGCCAGTCATAGTAGCTGCTACATCTGATGCGGAGCTAAAAAAGCTGCTCACTTTGCACATATTGAGCTAGAAAGTTGGGAGCAGTGTAAGCCCTTTAATGACCGACCGGTGTATGATTGTGCTCAGAGAACTTGAGGCAGCAGCAGCAACACCACTTCGGTACGGTACAACGCATCGAGCAGTGAAAAAACATGGCACACCCGCCTGTGACACTAACCTCTTCATCGATTTTAAGAAAGGAATGCTGGCGAAAGACAATCGCTGCTATCGATGCACATCCCAAGGCCATCAAGCACATTCTTGCCACATCAAACTCACCTGCTTGAGTTGTCACGGGAGGCACGCCTCAAGTGTGTGCAACCCTCGCTACAGAACAAACCTGACAACAGTACCTTCTCGACCACTGGACGCATCCGGTTGCATTGAAGAAATTGTCATCACGAGCGGTTATGCTGTGTGACAAGAATTCGCCGAGTGGGAGTGAGAGAAATGACGGCAAAGTATACCTGCAGACTTCTCGCGCTTTCATCATCAAAAACGGCAGGTCAAGATATGTCAGAGGGATTCTTAACGGAGGCAGTCAGTGATCTTTCATTACAGAAGACCTCGCCACCAAACTAGATTTGCAGGTACTGAGAAAGACCCAGGTTGCATTAAAAATGTCTGGCAACATATCCTAAACCTTGGTGGAAGGACGAAAGTTCATTCAAGTTTCCTTGCGTAGCCAGTACTCTGCTCGCATCTTCATCATTCGGGCACTAGTCATCACACCTGTCACATACTGTCGCCACATCTGTCACATCTTTTCGCCAACAGGTGATAGCCGCATTTTGCAGCAGTTAGTTTCGAGGGCCAAGTCATTGGTGACAAAGAGAAATTTCTTGAGGTGGAGACAGAGACCGGCATCAGCTTTTTGATTGCAGCTGACCCCCTGTGGAAGTTGACTGCTGAAGAAGTTCTGGAATTGGTCAGGACCAATACGGCACTTGGATGGACAGTGCGAGGACCCAGTTGTCAAAGTGCCTCTTTTGACGGTAACACTAACCACGTGGTCAGTGCTTTGCGAGTGGAAACGATTAGCGACGATGACACGATCTCGCAAATTCTACAGTCAATTCGAAACCTCAAATCAGCGGACATCACAGATTCTGGCAAATGCACTTTCATGAGTGCAGGCGTCCAAAAAATGATTCGAGATGAAAATGGGAAAAATACGGCAGAACTGTTTTGATAAGATGGCTCAAAACTGACACTTGAAACAAATCATGATGCCACACCCACACGTTCACAAAAACTGACAAGTTAATCGACAAAGCTTTCCGGCAATGCAAAGTGCCAGGCAGTGGCGTAGCCAGGGGGGGGGGGGGGGGTCGCACCCCCCCCCCCCCCCTGCCACTTACAAACTTTTTTTTCATCGCTTGGCACTAACATGGTTTAGGAACTAAACGCTGCTACTATCACAATATTATTTTTGGGCACTTTTACAATGAATCATGTCTGTATATGAAAAAATATGTCGCGGTGTTTCTCAAGGCTCTGGCACGTGAGATTTTGGGCAGGAATCTCGGCCGCAAGCGTTTTAAGTTGGCTCGGCGACGGGATTAATGCTTGAGCAGCCATCAGAACAGATCTCGCTAGAGTCGATCACTGTAATAATTTTCAATAGGCAAAGGTTAGCTTTAATGGATAAAGCCAGACACAGTTGGTAGGTGTGATAGGCCACGTTAAAGCATATTACAGGATGACTCTTCATACGTGTGCTAACTTATGCTTGACATGACTAGAAGGGCACACCGAGTAATTTCTGGAACTAGTGACATGAGGCACGAAAAGAAATGCACATAATGGAGAAACATGGGTAGGCATGTTATCACATAAAATTAGGAGCAAATTAAATAGTAACCATAGTTCTTTACAAAAAATGAAAGAAACTCTGTACAAGCAATGTCTGACACAGCAAAAAGACACATAGCGGAATACTGTTGATTATCTTTTTGAATTGACACGAAGATTATCTTACGCATTACATGTCATATTGTATGCACCATATGTTACCAAAAATTTCCGAGAATCGCCGCGTTCAAATTTGGGTTGTTGTTGCATTGCCATTCACACCTTTCTTATCCGCAAACCACGTCTGCAAGGGAAAGGTGCCACTGAAAAGCAAGGAATAGGCAACAGGAGCAAACCGAATCACTCTGCCATGCTGTCATAGTGACTTTCAGCAATATGTCTCACACAGTGTAACTTGCTTCCTTAAAGGTGGGCAAAAAGTAGAACATACTGGTTTTACCAAAACCATGTTTTTTACTCCCCGCCAGGGTGGTCCATTGGTTATGGGGCTCTATTGCTGACCCGCAGGTATTGCTGACCCACAGTATTGAATCTCTGTGGTATTTTCGATGTAGGCAAAAATGCTTTAGGCCCGTGCACTTTGATTTAGGTGAATTTAAAGAACCAAGGCTGTGAAATTTTCGAAGCGCCCCACTACAAATTCTCTCGTAATCACATGGTGATTTTGGGATGTAAACCCCATCAATTGATCATTAAGGACTATGTTTTTACTGTTGTTCAGAAAATCTCAATCCAAGAATAACTTCAGTTAACTTTCTTTCTTGATTTTTAGCAGGCACCTATGGTTGATACCACACAAATATTCAGCTGAAGCCGTCTACGTGCTGGTAAAGAACAGAGAGAATGTTTTCCAGGTGGACTTGTATTTCATGGTGGATGTTCAGAGAGCAATGCCAAGCAATCTTTCATTTGTTATTGTAGCTCTCGGGTACAACTTTAGACGTCCAGCGATGAAAAAGAGCATTCCGCTTCAGCTGTGCTCACCGGTATAGTTGCCGGAATCTTTAGAAGATGGTGCATGTTTGGGAAATATACCTCTCGGCAATTGACAACCGCTTGCATCGCAGGCATGCTCAATGTTTTTTGCTTCCATTTCGCAGCCCATACTGCTAACTTACCCTTGCAATGCCGAAGTTGAGAGGATGTTCGAGTACACGTCAGCAAACTTCTTGGCAGTGGGAAGAGTGGCAGATTGTGGAAAATCCTGTGGCAGACAAGAGCAAAGTATTTTCAAGGTGTGCCGATGTCTTTTAATGCGCCCAAATACTGAAAGCCTAAAGTGCTCTTCATCGCTAGCCACTGGCACGTTACTTCGATGAAGCTGCCTACCTGTGACAAGCAGCATTCTCATTTTCGCCAGTTGTCAAGTGCGCACTGAGAACAGCATCGCCTTTCGGGAAATAACCATCAAGCGTTATACCGTACGGCATTTCGGCATGACCATCAAGTTTCATAGAAGAGCGCTGATCGACCCAGGACATGAACTACCCAGTAATACGTGTAGGCAGCGTACATCAATGAGGAGACTTCTCATTGTAGCTAGCAACGCGTTCAGCAAAGTTCGGGTAGTGACCCTGAATGCGAGAAACGAGAACTTCAGCGAGGATACATGTCGGCTGGTAAAGTTCCGCCTTAAACACTAGGGCTCGTTTCTTGCCTGGTGGGAAGATTTGCGGGTATAAATTTCCTCCGCTTACCCTCAGGTGCCGGTAAGATCGCGCTCGCTTAGTATCTTACTCTGCGCCAGACGTCTCACGTTGGTGATTGCACCCATACCTGGTAGTTTCTGGCGCGTTGCGATGAAATACTACAAACATGAACGAACGTGAAGGAGTTGATGGCAGCACTGAAAATCCAGCAACTCACATCAGGATGCCCGAAACAGACAACGAAGAGGCATGAATGGTGCATGGTAGAGCATAAGTAAACTCGCGTTGCATGCGCTGGCAGTTCTCGTTGGAGTTTACACGTTCTGCAGAATGGATTATGGTGAACAACTCCGGAGTTCATTCCTTCATCATTTGTAAACTGATCACTGAAGATTTTGTGTGGTTTGAGTCTGCTTGCAGCTGTTCGCGTCATTGTAAGTGCTAGAAACATGAATGCACCTATGTTGCCCGCTGAAATACTGGGTGTTCAAACTCAAGCTTTATGATTTTTTTTAAATTAGCTGCTTGAAGGCACGTGAGAACCACTTGTGCAAATAAGTAAAGTGGCGAGGGGGACAAAAAGATAATTTTTGCTGTCAGCAGCCCAAATAACTAAAGCCTAATAATTAACTGTTTACTGGCTACGGTAAGTTGACATGATTATATTGATAAAATGTTGGCAGTGTTGTTTGTTCACAGTTTCAGTTGGAAGATTTTTTCTAGCGCGCCTGTGCTCTGAGATGTCCGGTTTCAAAGTTTAATTGCTTTTTGCATGATTACGCATTACGCATGCAAGAAGGTGAGGGTCAGAGCAAAGCTCCTCTCTAAAGTGATGCATCTGCTGTGTGCGCTATTGTGTGAAGAGGGTGAAAGGGTGTGTATATATATATATATATATAAGGGAAACAAGTGTATACCTAAAAGCTCGTTTTTCGTGTTTTTACACAATATTAATGAGATCTAACAGACAATAATGCCAAGGAAGGTATAGGGGAAGTTGTGTGTGTGTGTGTGCGTGTGTGTGTGTGTGTGCGTGCGTGTGCGTGGGGGGGGGGGGGGGGGGGGGGAGCAATGGTTGGTATAGGCCGAGAAGAAAGTAGTGCAGAATGGAATAGGCATGGCGTATGAGCCAGGCCACGTCTTCCAGTCATCATAGCGTCACACAAGTCGAGAGGATGGAGACCTGCCAGCCCCTTCATTGGTCGCACATCATCGACAAGGTTCTCTGCAAGACACCCTGACCATGAATGAACAACCGAACCAGCAGTACGCATCGACGAGCATCATGACGGCATTATCGACTGACCTTTCCATCCCCAAGTACACCGAAGCAGCGGACGATGGACCCGTGCAGGACTGGTTCTACCTGTTCAGGCTCCCTGCTATCGCTGCATCATGGTCGGAACGGGAGATGGTCGCCAACTTTACGGACCACGTCTCGGGTAAGGCCTTCAAATTCTACCTCATCCATATATTTCAAAACCACGAGTCATGGGAAAATATCAAACGGGAAGTGATCGTTTGGTTTAAAAAATATAATGACGACTATGACGAAGACTTGCTTATGGTCCACCATTCACAGACAATCGCGCTCGGTCGTCACACTCAAAAGCAGTCTTCACGCATGAACCCACTGTCTGCTTTTTCATCACGTGGATCTCTTATTGCTCACCGTTTGCCTCATAAGGACGCCGCGACCACAGTAGACGACTTGACGCTTCACGAAAATACCCTGTCAAGCCATGCACTTTTAGGACGGGTTCATTCATCACCGTGCAGTGAACACACATTAGACAATCGAAACAAAGTAAAAGGTTCAGGCGAATCGAACATCGCACGCTGCCAAGCGCAAGAGTCCTTCGTAGTGAACAGTGCAGAAGAAGCCTCCAGAGACCTTTTTGTCGATTCTAGTGCACCACCTTCATTTTCTTTTGAGAATCACGACAATCCAACGACTACCAACTATTTATTGGTCACACCAACTATCAAAGAAAAGCAGGCTCATGTTACTAAAGGAGTACCACCTCGTCGGGTTCCGCAACATCAGCAGTGCCATCAAGAACTCAAAGAACACCAGAAACCACGGCAGTTGCATCAAGCACTACGATGAACTAAAATAAGATCACAAGCAGATTTGCGGCTTAAGGATGGTCGTCAGGAACGACACCAACTAAAGGAAAGACTAAGTCAACACCTGAGCCATATTCGTAGAAGGAAACGTCAAGGAAGTCTTCTGTACCAGATATCATGGCATCATGTACAATCCTACTGACGGAGATACCACCACAGAAAACCACAAAACAGACTGAACGCTACCATTAGCAAAATGCAGGAACACAGGCATCATATCATCAACTTCGGTTCTCGCAAACGCAAGCTGGAAGCAATGCTTCTGTCTCAGCCAGGACACAGAATACAGCGCCCACGACAGAAAATTCGGCGCCTACGACGTCCGACCTTCAAAGGCTACAAGGGCGCCCGACCTCTTTCATTCTTTGCAGCTGCTGAAGCCGTGTCATGGTCAGTGCAGTTGTTCAGGACGCGGTTATCTTTTCCAGAACGCCACAGTCAGTCTCACCCACCAGAACTCCTGCGTTATCCGGACTGCTGCACTCTCTCCTGAAGTTTTTGAAAGTTTAGGTAACTCATCTGGAGCATAGAACCAATTGTGAATTTTGACATTTGTGACTTTTCAACTTCTCCTTGTTTACTTCTTCTTGTTTGTGTTTCATGCCTTCTTTCGTGGGGAAGGGGAATTGTGTGACGTATGAAGCGATGAAGCGATGGTTGGTAGAGGCCGAGAAGGAAGAAGTGCAGAATGGAATAGGCATGGGGTATGAGCCAGGCCACGTATCCCAGTCATCATAGCGTCACATGTGTGTGTGTGTGTGTGTGTGTGTGTGTGTGTGTGCGTGTGTGTGCGTGTGCGTGTGCGTGTGTGTGTGTGTGTGAGAGAACATAAGAAAGTAGCGATGGTTAGGAGTTAGAAGTAGAAGCCGAGAAGGAAGAAGAGAGAATGGAATAAAAATGGCTTATGAGCCAGGCCACGTCTCCCAGTCATCGTAGCGTCACACGAGTCGGCAGGATGGAGACCTGCCTGCCCCTTCATCAGTCGCTTATCATCTACACAGTTCTCCGCTTGACACCCTGAGCATACATGGACTACCGTGCAAGCACCTAGCATTACGCATCGACCAGCATCATGTCAAAAGCACCTACTGACCTTCCCATCCCCAAGTACACCGGAGCAGCGGACGATGGACCCGCACAAGACTGGTTCGACCTGTTCGAGCTCTACGCTACCGCTGCATCTTGGTCGGAACGAGAGATGATCATCAACTTCACTGACTACATCTCAGGTGAGGCATTCAAATTTTACCTCACCCAGATCTTCGAGAACGATGAGTCTTGGAAAAAGTTCAAAGAAGAAATGGTCACCCGTTTCAAAGAATACGATGAAGATCTGTCCGTACCTCATCAGCGGAAGGCTTTTCAACTCACCCATTACAGTTACGCGAAGTCGTCCCGCAGTAAGCCTATTTTCCAAACGAGACATCAGAGAAAATATACCACCATTACACCATCAAATGGCTCTTCCGAAAAAATGTCACGCATTCGGACACCGACTGGTATCTTGCACGTGGCAACAGACAAGGTAAAGCCTCCATGTACCGAAAGGAATCTAGACCATTTCACCAAAAGACTAAACGTAACAAGACGGTAAGTTGGGCCAGTTGGTTAGGATCCATCGTGAACTTACAGCGCAACACCAGAAAAAATACAGGACAGGGAAGGAGCAAAAGAGAAAGAAAAGACAGCACTGGCTCACAACCGTTGTTTATTGAAAAAAACGGGGTGAAAAGTATATGTATAGGTACTGGCAGCCTACATCACAACATGCGCAAAATACGAGGTGCACTGAGGTAGCGTTGTCACACTCATGGAAATAAACAAGGTTGGCCTAAATAACTTAATTCTTTTTCATGCAGTGTGACGGATGGTTCACTAACGCACTTGCTACACGTAATCTTTATATGATATGCCTCAGCGATTTCTCTTGTTAGCTGGTTAGGATGCTTGAAGATGATGGTGGTTCTCTCAAAAATGGGATGACAACCGCATGACCTGCAATGTTCCGGCAGATGAAGTCGCGCGATCCTTTGAAAAGATAACTCATGCTCCCTTAAACGAACATTCACACAGCATTTCGTTTGTCTCACATACTTCCTACCACAAGATAATGGAGTTAAATACCCAGCTTTTTTTACGCATGCGATGTACTTGTTCTTATGATTCACAGCGCACCTCCCTTTGGCTTGTTTGTTGCTTAGCGCATTATCAACCATCGGGCAAATGCGACCTACCTTTTGTTTGGCGGAAAAAAGGAACGTCGACACCATACCTTGAGCATACTTTTTTCAGCCCATGTGGCGATTTGTGTACATAAGGAAACACTGCTCTTTTTCTTTTTCCATCAGTTTTTCCTTATGTACAAAAATTGGTACACAAATTATCACAAATTATGTACACAAATTCCTTATGTACACCAAT